GCTCTTTCGGGGGCTCCATGGCCAAAGGATTGTTGGCATCAGCTTTACCACGCAAGAAAGCGGTCTTGATGTCGAAGGAGCTCAACTGGAAGCGACGCGAGGCAAGTGTCTGAAGGATAATGGATCGTCCTTCCTTGGACAGCGTCGGAGCATCGCGAGACACCTCCACTAACTTAGGATCTTGGTATCCTAGAACCACTAACCTAGCCTTGGCCCTCTGCTGTGTCTCGCCCTCCTCAGGGGCTTTCCAGGTGAGGATCCATCGACTTTTCAAGATCTGCTCAGGATTCAACTTACGACGAAGAATGCCCCGTATTGCAGATGTCTGGACCCAGCAATTTATCTCCTTCAACTTAGCTTGCTCAAAAAGGGCAACCTCTTTGGAAGACAAGTGTTTTAAGCTGACTTCGGCACGGGTCCTTTTCATAGCTGCTGCTACGGTGACTAGCTGACTAGGGGATTTTTCCCCACGCCACCTCTTGACTTCCTTTGGCTTTAGGTCTACCTCTAGGCAAAAGGCTTGTTGAGGGGAATTTTGCAGAGGCTCAAGGACATAAGGGTAGTTATCCTCGGCAAGAGGAGGGCAGCAGGAGCCTTCGCCAGCTTCAACTGTCGAAAATTGGACGAGCGCATCTCCATCTTCATCGATTATTCCAGTTTCCTCGCACGACAAGAAAGCAGAATCAGCGATTAAACCGTCATCTGACTCAGGAACTGGGATGTCTTGGGGATTTTCGACCGAAGGAGGAGCATCGTCAGCAGCTGTCGGAGCTGATGGTGGAGCTGGCACAGGTAACGACCCGAGCTCAACACCATCGTTATTCTGACTGACCTGGGGCGTCAGTTCCTGCTCAGGCTGGCCAATGTCATCGGCGGGAGTAGCCGTTGGGAGATTACTGGGGCCTACCGTGTTCGGGATAGGCTCTGGGACTACAGCTGGGGCTGGCGACAAAACATCTGACCTAGCAACTGAGTCATTGGAAGACGCAGCTGGCGCGGTGATGTCGAGGAATGTGCTTGCTCCGCCGGTGTTCTTCCACCCTTCTAGAAGACTAGAATCCGTAAGACTTTGCCATTCTCTTAGCGATGCAGGGCGAAGATTCTCAGGCGCGCTCCTAATGATGGTCGTCCCGTGGGCCACCCAGACTATGGATTTGCCCTCGGAGCATATGACCTTCGCTGGGCCGTGCCAACGGCCTGCTGCAAGACGGTTTGGAGAAGTCTTTTTGGTCCAATACAACACCCACATGCCTGGAGTGAATGGCCCACGGAGGGGGGTGCTTCTTCGCAAAGCAGCCCGACGAATTGTCTGCGAATTATCGGCTTCCAGGAAGGCTTTGCGAGCAACACATCGGAGGTGCAACCTTTCCCGGTGTCTTTCGGCTTCTAGCTCAGCACCTTCTGTCAACGCATGTGGGGTGAGATCCTCATCCGACGTGTTGCTTCCGGGAACACGCAACGCCTTGCCAAACACGATTTGCTCTGGAGAATAGCCTTCATGACGAGCTAAAGCATTTTTAGCCATTATGCAGTGCTGGAGGATGCGATCAAAAGTTGCATCGTCGGATATGGGTTCTGCAGTGTCCATGCGCTCCAACATATCCTTTAGCACATCTCCGTGTCTCTCAAGGCGTCCTCGCTGCCACGCAGCTGCAGTTACATGTGCCTGAATGTTTTGCCCTTGGAAGTATTCTAAAACCTCTTCCGATCTAAACTCTCCGGCGGGATCTAGATACACCCTTTTAGGCAC